CACTTTCCGAGTGAGTGGTACTGAAACAATTGGTGTGCCACTCTAATCTCAACACTGCTGCTGAGCTTTGGATCTGGCTGTATTTGGCGGACAGTCTCCCCTTGTGGTGTGGCAGCCTGCAATGGCTCTGGTCTCTGTGGCACTTCATGGTTGCCAAAATCTGAAGGAAAGGTCATTTATTCTGCAGACACAGTGGGAGAAAAACACCCAGGTGTCTGAAAAATAATCCGCCTGTGTCACACTGAAGTTATACATCCCTTCTGGAAAGTAGCTACTGGGCTGTGAAGCCTTTTCAGTTACTGATGCGTTATATTAGCTACATGCTATTTCCTTCTCCACAGTCTCACCTGTGTATATGAGCACAACTCATCAATGATATTTTCCCTTATCCGTCTAAGTTGCTAATTTGGGCTTTACTGACAGTATGTGTGTTGATATTGTTTTTCAAGCTGCAAACGTTTGGTTAAACTTGGATGAAAGCAATGTTACAACACATAATGTTATATTATATTCAGCAGCCTTTACGTAGCTGTGATTTGATATTAGTTAGTCATTTTGTGTTTGTAAGCACATCATTGTTAGCTCATCAATCAGGCAATACATTTTGCTTAATAAATGGATGGCAGGAGAGTGCTGCAGAAAAGAGAGCGCTCCAAACCCTCAAAAATCCTGGCAAGGACACCCCCACGCTTCCAGATGTCACACCACAAACTTCCAAACTGTATGTTATTAACATATGTCATGAGTCCAAGAAAAGTGTGAAGGAGGAATAATGTGTAATACTGAAAATCTGCTTTTTCTTACCAGTCAGTTGCATCTCAATATTCATCATCATCAGCTTTATTTAAAGAGACTCTTGGTCCATTATTTTATTTGAAACTTAAATTTGTTTTATAAACAGATACACTGGACAATAGTCAACAGATATAAATAAGTTTCATGTGGTAAATATGAAATGGTTTGAACTATTCATGAGAGGCCTTCATATCCGTTCTTTGATTTAAATGAAATCTTTTATCTTTTATTTAATTTTTATTTATTGGTCTTTTTAAAATTTCCCATTGTAAAACCCTTTGTACAGAATTTACAAAGTAGGTCATTCAATTGATCACACACACACAAACATCGATGAAAGAACATTTCAGTATAAAAGCTGAGGTGATTTATGTCGTGCCCCGCCTTGTTTTATCCAAGCCAGAGTGCTCGGCCCTCAGCTTGGCAACGTGTGTCAGCCTACATTAGGTGGACGAGTGAACAATGGCCTCAGCCAGGAGCAGGTGGTGGTTACTTGAAACTCTGAGAGGAGGGTGTGCATTAGTGGCTGTGTGCATGTGTGTGTGTGTGACAGAATGAGAGAGACTGGTCTATCTGCCATCTGGAACGCCGGGACAATCCCAGGTGAGGCGGAAACTTGAATGTGCTGTTTCTATCAGTTCACTGACTGGCCTGTCTCCTGAATCCAAACACTTTTTTGTTTTTGTTTTTCTGAGAGGATCCAGTGGTTCCTCTCTATGCCTCTAGTGATGGCACACAGCAATTTTGAGAGTGTGAAATGAGCCATTACAAGGTGTGCTTCACCCCCTCTTAAAGTGGACCGACCCAATATGAGATCAGCGGGCCAAGTCAAGTCAAGTTTATTTATAGAACGTTGTCGGCAAACAGATTCGTATCTTTTTAACGGAAAACAAGGGTCAACATAACAATGGTTTTTGTGTGTGTGTGTGTGTGTGTGCTTATACGAGCGTGTGTGCCTGATTTAGAGTATATCAGAGGGAACAAATGTTGTGTTTTTTCTGAAAGTATCATGCTGAAGAAACAGGAAATGACTGACAGCTGAGAGTAAAGGCAGGTTATGAGAAATGCTGATTAAAATAACTGATTTTGAATTTGTTTTTAATACTGGACCATGTCATCGTTTCTCAATCAACGTGAGTCAAACTCTTTTGCACTCTGTCCTTAAAAAGAGTGACTTGCTGTATATATTTTCATTGTGTTGTCTGATGAGGGACATCCTGCTAAGCAGCTTTACTTCTGTGATTGAATTGACGTTGGGCTCTTATTAGCATAGGTAGGCAACTTTAAATAAGCAATGTTAATTTTTTATAAATAATGCATAGACTGCATTTTTTCAAGCCATCTGATAATCAAGCTAAAGATGCAATCTGAGACCCCGGTGCCTTTGCCCCAGAAATATGAGATGAAAGATTTGACAAGTGATAAATGTCAAATACATTTAATTAAATAACACGTATATATTTATAACAAAGTCAGCTTTTCAATCACACACTTTGCAACCATTTTTTACAAACACCTTATTAATTAATAAAGCTTTTGATTGCAGAGTGTCTGATGTCCCCCCTGAGATTAGTCTAATGATGGCTGACATTTATATACGTATAGTAATTACAAGTTCAAAGCATATTCCCGGGCTCTTCTACTGTATGTTATCCTATTATAGTCTCATACATGCTCATTAAAGTCTTCTTCTTCTTATGTTCATGTAACATCACAAAGCAGTTTGTAGCCCCTTCTCTCTGATCTCACAACCGGAAGGCCTCAAACTATCCTACTTAACAGGAGCAAATGATTTCTATGGTCGAGCGATTTTGTTGGTGCTACAAAAACTCTTACTGGAAAGTTGTCACAAGGCATTTTCATTTATGTAAATATCCATATGCTGTTCCTTCCTTGGACTGTACCATTTTCGGCTTACACTTATACTTGTATCCCCTTTGTACTGTGAAACCTGCTCTTTCTCTCTACATTTCAGTCTCAGCAGCTTATTCCAAAGTGCTGTAGACCACTTCCACCCCCATGTCCCCTACACCTATACACGGCCTGGTGCCATCACATCCCACCTCACCTCTACACCCCTCTGATTGTCCTCAGCAAAACAATCTTCAATGCTCAGGCAGTTGTCAACATTAATACTTCACAGTCCTCTAACCTGGATCATCACTATCAACAGAGCAGCAAGCAATGCAATGTATAAGTTACTCAGTTCATGTGGAAGGACAGCTCACACGCCCAGCATGCTCTTTCTCTGTTTTGAATTCTGAGACCATTCTACTTGTACACTACAAAAAATGACCCTTGTTGTCTGGAATGGGTCAGGTTGTATCCGGTTGTGGCTGACCATAATATAGCCTTCCTGAGACATTTGAGATACTGTAAGTGATGCTTTTCATACATATTTTTACAAAACCAAATTCAAATATCTTAAAGGTGGGTTAGGTAAGTTTGAGAAACCGGCTCGAGATACACTTTTTATTATATTCCATTGAATGCTCTTAACATCCCGATAGCAATGAATATATTAAGTGCTTTGACAAAAAATCCATAAAAAAATGTCATCTGTGGAAGCCGTGGTACTGTAAAAAGCACAAGCAATCATCTGAGCCGGCCCGGCTAAAATAACTGGATGGCCTACCTGCCTGTCAGCCTTCCATCTGTGCACAAACTTATCTCGTGCCCTCATTGGTCATGTGCGCGTTCATGTGTGTTGGAGGAGGGGCTCTATAAGGAAGTGGCAGTATTTTCAAATTCTAGCGCACTCGAGCTGGTTTCACCAAAATGACCTACCCTACCCTTAAGTGTTTTCCAAATTGTGCTCTGGTTAACAGCAGGTTTTTATAACCTACACATTCTACATCTTTGCTGCAGAGTTGTTATTTATAATAATTGTAATTCCTTTAGATGGCTTTGATTTTCAGGAAAGGTAATTGTACAATCTTTTTTTTGCTGCCCACCTCTTGACATGTTTTATTTTTATGTAATAGGTGTCTTTATAAAACTGCCTTTCTGAAGAGATGTCTTTTTTTGTTTATGTTCTATTAATGGAACACTTTTTTCTGCTGCGGAGAAACTAAGATATGATACGATAAAACAGAACTATTTTTATAGGGATGAAAATGGCTATATATGAAAGGTATGAACAAGTGCAGATATAAAACGTGATCAATAAATAAATAAGTCTTCTAAAACAGTTCACTATTTGAATTTTCCAAATATGTGCTATTATATCGGACAGGCTTTGCCCTTATTTATGTATACTAACTATTGGGCCTTGTTTGTGTAGGCTTTTCCTAATATTTTAAAGGTTTCATGTCATGCTTTTCCGGTTATTACCCGTCCCCTTGAGTGTTATGAAGGTGTTTCTGCATGTAAGTGTAACGGTCTGCAAAGTCACAAACCCTCAAAGTACACCGTGTAGCGAGTAAAACTCTAACACAGAAAATACCTGTCTATGCCGCCCCAGAAAGCCTCGTTGGAGATTTCTCTTTTTCCACTGTTTTCTTCCTGGGTACAGTGACGTGCCCATACCGAAATGGACCCATTGGTCCAAGCCGTTACGTTAAGTCCGTGGATTGGTCCAAATGGACCAATCCGCGGACTTCCTCACACACACACACACTCGATCTTTTCTCAGCTGCAGCTCCGCCGATTTCTCCTCCCTGAGACGGCGGGTGTGTGTGTGTGTGTGTGTGTGTGTGTGTGTGTGTGTGTGTGTGTGTGTGTGTGTGTGTGTGTGTGTGCGTGCGTGCGTGCGTGCGTGCGTGCGTGCTCGGGTTGGTTTCGGGCTGGGTTTAGCTGTGTCTCGCTGTCTCGCAGACGGCCACTGGGCTCACAGGGAGTGGGGGGGGGGGCAGGAGCTCCAACAAGCCGTTTAGGACAGAGTGAATACACTATACAGAGATGCTGTATGATAAACCAATGTGAGTTTGGAAAATTGCACGATATAAATCTATTGTAGTATACCTCAACAATGGAATTATGATCAGTAGAAATGGCCATGACATGGGACCTTTAATACTCAGTAAGTCTAAAAACCACTTCAAATCGACTTTTCTTGCAGTGTGTACCTCACGCTAACCCCCCTCCCTGCCTTCGCCCTCTACTTCGATGTACTTTGAGTCATTGTGATTGGCTCACGTTTCATGTCCATCAGAGCTGTGTGGGCGGGACTCAAACAATCCACTCGTGCTCTCTTCACTGAGGATTGTGCGCCACAGCAGACAGTAGTACAGCAGCGGCAGCATCCACTCTGTGACCGGAGGACAACTACTGCTGTTGTTCACTCTCCCGCAAACTGAGCCTGTAGCCAACCGCTGGTGCATCCTTGAAATTGTTATTTTTTAGGAAAGAGCACATTTCTGCTTTAAAAAGTAACACAGTTTTCCGGTCGTGAAGTCGGTTGTGCCTTTTCCCTGAGACGCACAAAAGACGCACTCCCAAGTCCACCTGGATAGCTGACAGAGCAGTCCGGTCTGGTTCGAGGTCCAGTGGGGAGAGACAGAGAGGAGAAGTTAGCCCGGAAGGCAAGAGGAAGAAACAGAGAAGCCAGGATGAATCAAAAGAGTCATTTGATTTTCACCCTCTACACTATTTATGGGATTCTTCTGAAAGGTGAGTCTGGGACAAGTGGTGCGTACATGCGGGTGTTTTGTGCATACTGTGTGTGTGTACTCGTGCATGTTACAGGCCAGCAGCAGGGCAGGATGGAGGGACAACAGCACGCGCGGTCACAGTCACACCACATGCGGGTCCTGGCAGAAACATGCGGACCCCCCTCTCTCCCTCACCGGGTTTCTCATTCTCCAGCATGTGTGTTTGTGCGTGCGCGGGTGTGTACGTGCGTTGAATGTACGTGCATGTGCAAACGTGCGTCTCAGAGTACAGCTCGAGGAGAGCGAGAGAGCTGGTCCTCTAACATCCTTCTGGATCCCTTGTGTGTTAATGTTCCGGAATGAGGAGGATACTATTTTCATAATTGTGTGCTCAGGGCACGACCCGAGCAGTGGCTGTGAAGCCAAACAGAGTGGTGCAACTCCTGAGTCTGCGATGTGCGTGAGTGCCAATAAAAGAAAAAATGAGCCCGCTAGGAAGACACACCTTTACATGAAGTAACCAACCCCGCGGTTGTTTTTGACGTGCAGCACTTGGATGAGTCACGGAGACACTGGCAGCCTTTTACGCACCGAACAGTTTGATGCTGCTGCTGATAACGGCAGCTTTATATGCACACACAGCATTTGACTCTAATCTCTTTTCCTTTCTTTTATGAATTTACCCTCTGTTTTCTCTGTGAAGGCGTGGTGTCTGTGGACATAGTGCGCACAGTCATCTCTGGTGTGTTGTGTGCCTGCATAAAGGTTTCAGGGAAGGCTATTGTCAATGAACAGGTGCATGATTAGGATGACAGGCTTTCCCATTACTTTCTGAGAAGTTGATTTTCCTGTGTGATAGCTGATGTAAAGGTCAAGCTTCTCTCGGATTACGCCTCATAGCCAACATGCACAACAATGTACCAGAGATTATTACTGTGCTCACTGCATCCATTAGCAAGGAAATCAACTTGGCAATGGCTGATGTAAATGTGAATAACATTTCGATCTCATAACTGTTTGTGATAATATCAAGATAAACAGTGTTGTTTACAGAAGATAGGTAAACATTAGATTAAGGTGACATTGGGGTCAAGGTCATGTTGTTGCCATGCCTGTTCATAAGTGGTTCAGTGAGATATCAGCATATCAATTAAAGTGGATCTACAATACATACATAGCACTGAAATATCATAAAATGGCAATAAAAAAAAAAAAAGCCCTGTATACAATAATTATATATGCTTATATTTTCTATTCTCCGCCTTTCTTAAACATATAAAGTATCAACAGAGTAGAGGATGTGGGCCAACACAGCAAGAAAATGATGGGGCTTCAATGGCTTGATGGTTTTGATCAGTGAATACAAGACAGATTTTTTAGTTCAAATATCATTAGAAAACTCTCTTTTTATATCACACTATTTTGATGATGCAATGCGGATGGTTTGCATAATACATTTGACATGTTCCAGTATAGTTCCATATTTAAGAAATGTTATAGAAAGATGCCCGAGTACAACCCAGTGGCATGTTCTGTGATATTTTTTCACTTCACTTTAAACACAATACAGTGTAGAGTACTGGATTGCATTCACGTGTTGAGGCATCCAAGGAAAACAATATCTTTGTAAGAAGTTAAAGAGGGAACACTTCGTATTGAGTTGCTGGACTGTCAGTGGCAGGAGGGGGATGGATTTACTCGGGAAAAAACTGTCAGTCTAACAGCAGGGCCACTTATGCTGCGCTGAGCTCCAGTTTGTGATATAAAGTCCACTTTATCCCACTCAAATTACATCAAGATGTATTTAAGGCATTTGATAACAGATTTATTAACATGAAAGTCTTGACTTAAACCAGCTTTCCACACGAGCAAATCCCAAAGGAGAGATCACTTGATTCCCTTGATAATTTGTTGTTCTCTCTTTGAAGTGTGTGAGTGTGTGTGCATATGAGAGTGAGTGAGAGCAGTCCTTAACAACCAGCCGTGATTAAGGCCACTCTTGACTTAATGAATTGATACGTAATGAGTTATCTTAGGGTATCTGATATATCTGACAGCTCGCACTGCAGCAATTATTGACGTTTCAGGGCTTCTCTGTCCCCCTTTATTCTCCTAAGGGTGGCACATTCATTATGGGAGAGTGTCTGTGTGTTCTTGTGTGAGCTTATTACCTTGCAAATGAGTGCCACGTTTCTATAGTTCAAGTCTGGAATGGCCTACGCAATGACAAAAACCATGCTGTTAACAGCCGAGCGCACTTCGGATCTGTTTCCACACACCCTCACATCAGTCTCTTTCTCTCTCCCTGTCTAACTCTGAAGGGGATAATGTTAGGCTCCTTGATTTGAACAGTCATCTCGCAGTGCAAGACCTATTATTGTATAGGTTCCACACAGCAGTCAGGTCAGCCTCCCTCTGAATGAAGTCTATCTAGCCGCAGCCGTATCCGTGCGCTCTGTAAATGGCAGCTGTTTCAGCCCCTCTGGCCCAGTGCCACCTGGCATCAAGACATCCAGACACACTGCATCTCTGTCACCGACTAGACCTGCGTCGTGTGTGTGTATATATATATATATATATATAGTGTGAACGTGAAGTGTTTTGATGGAGGTTGTTGTTTACCAACAGCCCGAGTTGTTAGCATATTATCCAGTGTGTCTCGTGTGCCCATGCCGGATTCAGAGAAAACAGCCTGTTATGCAAATGGCCCTCTTACGTAATAGCCCGGGGCTGCGTGGCAGGCGAGGGGAGATGGAGGCAGGAGAGCAGCAGAGAAAGAGGGAGATATTCTAGAATAGAGGACTTGATGTTAGAGTGACGTGGGAGGAGAGGTGTGGAGGAGGGATGTGCAATCTTCTTGGCTAAAGTGTGCAATATGTGTGCTCTGGTTGTTGTTTGCTGTTAGGATGGCTGTTTATCGCTCTGCCTGCCTGGTAGTCCGTCTATTTTGAACTCTGATCTTGCTAGCCTAAATACAAACCCCCGCTGAGGGATGTGTTTATCCCCGCAGTGAGTCTAAGCTGCTGTAGGCTGACCCTCCATCCCTCTGTACTTCCGAGCATTCCTCCCTCGCCTCATCCTCTCATCCTGGTGTGGAGCTTTGTACCACAGCAGCGTGGGAAAGCTTCCGATAACAAGTGGCCGTGTGTGTGTGTGTGTGTGTGTGTGTGTGTGTGTGTGTGTGTGTGTGTGTGTGTGTGTGTGTGTGTGTGTGTGTGTGTGTGTGTGTGTGTGTGTGTGTGTGTTATGAGGATTAATACACTAGGATCATAATATGTGAGTCCAAAAAGTGCTCGACTGTCTGTTAAAATATGTTGTATGTTTTAAACTGCCGCTTGATTCAAGTAAAACATTTCAGAAAACCGCTTCTTCTTGCATTAACATCCACCCAGGAGATGCCAAATGATGATGATTGTAGTAGAACATAAAATATAAATCCAAATAAACAGTTTTTTGTATTTCATAATGTAAATGTGTGTACTTAATCCATTATACTCTTGTTTATTTTGTTTGTATCCAGCACCTGTAGACAGGGGTTTTTAGCTTGAGTCTATCTTCGTCTCTTACTCTGTGTCTTACTCTTGCTCTGCAGAGAGGCCAACGCCCTGACGGTGTCCTCCTGCACCTTGCAGAAAAAGAAGGCCCTGTTCACCATCGCCAAAGAAGCGTTTGACACAAACACCCGCGCAACAAGTATCACCACTTCCACCTACCAGCTCATAGAACCTTACATGGGTAAGCAAAAAGACCCACACACACATCCATACAGCAAAACTTTATTTTGAACACAGTTAATCCTGTTTATATCTGTCCTGGCCTGCAGGAGGCGCGGATTTATCCTATGTCAAAAGTCTGTCGACCTCCGACATCAACATGGACATGGCTACCTTCACCGCACTGGACGAGAATGTTATTCGGTCCGTGTGTGTGTGTGTGTGTGTGTGTGTGTGTGTGTGTGTGTGTGTGTGTGTGTGTGTGTGTGTGTGTGTGTGTGTGTGTGTGTGTGTGTGTGTGTGTGTGTGTGTGTGTGTGTGTGTGTGTGTGTGTGTGTGTGTGTGTGTGTGTGTGCGCGCGCAGAGCCACTGATTACAGAAACAAGGTGCTCTCTCTTTCTCGCTCACTTGCACTCACCCTCCCACTTCTATGTGTTTCATTTTCATGGACACGCTTTGACGGGTGGAACATGTGACGTACTCTGTACCTTACACAGAAGCCCTACACCTTCAATGCTGAAAATCCTTAGTAGAACTGGGCATCACACAGACACACATACACACACGGAGCCCCACTGTGGATTCATTGCTGCCCGGCCAAGGGATTTCCCATGATCAAAGCCAGTCTTTTGTTAGTCCAGGTGTTAAAAAAGTTAAAACAGAAAGGAGGAGGAGGCTGGAAGGGAACGTGGGATTCCGAGCTTACAAACTCTTCATGGCAGAGCAGAAATGTGCTGCTCCAGAAACACTTCCAGGGAACCTGCCACTTGTTCCAATTCTTTCTCATATCAGTAAACATGCACGGCAGGTTTTGCTTGGGAATGTACAGCAATGACAAGTTGAAAACAGACGCTCTCAAAGTCTGTTTAGACATAGGGATGAAAGGACACAGGAAGAGGCAGGAGGCCAATCATTGTTAAGCTCAATACACATGTAGTGGCATATGGTAGATATTCACAAGTGGCAAAAACAGAACCCAGACAAGACACTATGGAGGACTGAGAAGTTTTAAGCTTTATGTAAATGTTATCCTATGTGCACAGCTCAGCTCCTAAACCAGCCTGTGGAAATACCCTAAACTTTAATGAGCCTTCAAAATATGGTGCTCACAAATGCAGCATCACAGAAAGATCGGACATTATTTTTGTACTTCAGATATACTTAAGACATACTTCATTTTAAATGTGCGCATTGCTAAACATCTCCCAAGGCTACATATTCAGTGTATTGCAAGATTCAGCCTGGTTTTTATGTTTGAATATGATATGAAGACTCTTGTCTCTTGTCTTCAGAGAATATGGCCTTA